AATGGGATATGCACAACTTTCTGGCATCAATGTGCTTGGAGTTCTTGCCTACTGGGGACCACGAGCAAGAACCTCGCCCGCTCAGAGAAGCACGAGGAGCAATGGCCTATAGAAACCCCCCTGTGGTTGGGAGCATTCTAGGTACAGTGCTGAAACAACCACCGGAGCCAGAGCACACAACCTCAGCCTCTAGCATCAGCCTTAGAACTGATGAGTGGATAGCCGGCGTGAGGGGTCTGGGGCTCCCCCTTCCCCCTCCTGGGAAGGGGGGAGCTGCGCAGACAGCGACGTGGCAACGTGTGACATCCTGATCGTTTGCGCGTTTCTTTTAGAGGAGTTCTATCCACTTGTTCAGCTTTTAGTAGGAATAATTTCACCAGAATAGGGGGTTCATTTTGGGATGCTTACCTTTCCGGGAACCTGACCCGGTCGATGGCAGACATAGAATGCTTCCAACCACACGGGGGTTTCTATAGGCCATTGCTCCCCATGCCTCTCTGAGGGGGCCCAGGTACTGGCTCGTTGTCCCCGGTAGGCTCACAGAATTCCATACACATGACTGATGTCTGACATTAAGTCCAAAGTCTGACATTAGCATATCACCCTAGTAAGCTCCGGGGAGCCGAAAGGGCTCTCCCCAGAAAACAGACAAAACATTCATAAGGTGCATGTCATACATAGGACACCATTGTACCCAAAAGGAGAACAAGACTTCACGTAACCCAGGAGGACTGTAGGTAATCAAACAACTTCCTAACAAAAGCCCAAGGCGGTGACTTAGTTACAAGAGGCAATACTCGGCATGCATGTTCCAGTAGGAAGTCATTTTATCACTTCAAGTATTTTATCACTCCTAGTATTTTACCACTTCAAGCATTTTATCACTCCTAGTATTCCCCCCTTTTCCAAACAATACAGAATATTTCCTGGTAATAAGGACATGTACATAAAGATATTAACAATTACAATTGATTTTTATTTGTATATAATATACTATATTAAGGTGAAATGCATTAAAATAAATTTATCAATATAGTATATCAATACTGTAGATGCTTGAATTACTTGAAATGCCCAAAATTTACTTAAAATCCATCATGTAAATCTTCATATTGCAACAAGCATTAACCAACTAAATGTGTGGGGGACCCTAATAGGAACATTTTATATATACCCAGTATATACATTTCTGTAAAAAATAATTACTGTACATATTCAAAGCAAAACTCATACATACCTTTTTCTGCAATTCATTTATCAAGTTTAACAGATGGTTTACTGTTTGTGGGATGATCCCTTGAAGGTTGACATTGTCTGATATCCCTTCCATAGCTGGATTAGGGCATGGCTATACCAAAGGAAACAAAGAGTTAGTATAAATGGAATCAAGTCAGTGGGAAAATGTTGTAAGTAGAGTGCCTCAAGGCTCTGTCCTGGGACCTTTGTTGTTTATAATATATATAAATGATTTAGATTCAGGTTTGAGTAGCAGCATTTGCAAATTTGCCGATGATACGAAAATCGGTAGGGAAATTAATTCGGAGGAGGACTCGCTCTCACTTCAAGTTGATCTAGATAGGGTTTTGAAATGGTCAAAGGATTGGCAGATGCAGTTTAATGCTGATAAATGTAACGTTCTGAGGTTAGGTAATGATGATAGAGTTAAAAGATACGAGCTAGATGGTGTTGAGATTGCGAAGTCGGATTGCGACAGGGATCTGGGAGTTATGATTAGTAAGAATTTAAAACAAAAGCCGAGCAGTAGTAGCATCTAGAAGTCTGCTGATTTTATTGGATGATCCATAGATGTATGGCTCCTCTTGCATGATAGTATGATAATAGATGGAAATACTGGTGTCAATTTCACTTTGCCTCAGATCTACAAGATCTTGTTGAAGTTCTCGGTGTACTGCTGCTCTCAGATTGCTCATTGACAATCCAAGGTTACACTCGACGTCTTCTTTAAAGGCAGATTCTTTGGCTAACTTATCAGCTCTATCATGCATTCGGAGGCCAACATGAGATGGAGACCATGCCCATGAAATGGACTCTGTTACCATCCTTAATAATTCTGTAGTATTTGTGTCTAGCTTCGGACACGAGCATGTTACAGTTATGCCTTAAAGAGTTGAGAGCATTTAAGGATGATAAGGAGTCACTTACAATTAATGTATCAAGTTTGGAGACTTGTACACATTTCAGTGCAAGGATCAAGGCAAATAGTTCGGTCTGAAGGGTAGAGGCCCAGTTGTTTATACGGACTCCTCACTCAAAGTACAAGCCATCGCCCATTGTCAGAACAACTGCACTTCCAGCTGCACCCGTGGTGCGGTGTAGGGAACCATTAGTGTATATGATTTGAGAGAGAGAATGCTCTGTGGACAGAGCATCAATATGGCTTAAAGCGTTGAGCTTTGCCTCAAGACGAAGCTTGGGCTGATCTCTAATTTGCTTTTTGGGTGGAAAGGGAGGGATTAAAACTGGAAAGGGTGTAACCTCCCACGGTGCAGGAAGGTGCTAATGTCAGAATTGTCAAAATGATGTACCTTGCATACATCAGATCTTCAGCGGATTATGCTGCACCTCTGCTTGTTTTGATGCCTGAAAGAAAGCTTGGAGGGCTTGAAAAATTGCGGAAAGAAGGGGACCTTTGATTATTTGCCATGCACCAGAGTCCTGTTTCTCTTGAAACCATTATATTAACCCCTACCCGCCGAAGCCGTAACTGACAAGACTGTGTTGAGTTTTAAAATATACCTGGAAAAGATCATCAAGGCAAATGACCTACAAGCCGTCGATTCCCTGTCCTCGTCGAGGTCACTAAAGTTAATGATTCTCAGGGAAATGAGATAAAAGAATAAAGTTACCCCTAACTAACAATAAAAGAAAACGAGATAGTTTCATCAGCAGCTGAAGCGACCACTATGAAGCCATTCCGTCAACAACAACTCCGGCTACACGACTGTGGGACGCTGACAGGCTAGTTCCTGCGCCATGGGAATAATGCTCTACCGTACGACAAATACAAGGCCTTGAGGCCTAGAAATTCTACAGAAAATCTATACATTCATTCGACTGCTCAAATACTGTGTAGGGAGGAAGTTTGTGTCACTATTGATCACCGGCAATGTAAGTTTTAAAAAGTTAGGTTTGGTAAATATAAAATATTTGATGTGTATATACAATTTAATTAACATGAGTAAGTTTTTAAGTACATTGTCACTTCAAGCCGGACAATTGTTAATCGTTAACAGTGACTAACCACAGATGATGTAGAGTTATAGGACCTTATTACTGTATTGTATCTCACATGTAGTCTTTTAGATATTTCATCTTTTGCAATAATGCAACTTACTATTTCATGCAACACAAGTTTAGTTTTATCTCTAAATGGCTAGATTTTTAAAGCAAAATTTGCCTGAGGAGCATTATCTCTAGTCGCCTTGATTGTGAATTTAAATTTTGCCCCGAGGGGCGAGTTTATTGGGCAGCGCCACTCATCCTGTGGCTGGACATACTGCCATAACAGCATGTAAAACACTCCCCAATAGGAAGAAAATCTGCTGGGCTGCTCAGCCTGTCACTAGTACCTAGACACAGCTGGGACTTGCTTAACTGTCTCAAATGAACAGCTTCTCAAACAAGAAGATTAACATTTGTCAACCATTAAAATCTTACGTTATCTTGCGGGTGCAAAATGGGGGGGAAACTTTTAAGAGCAGTATATATATTTGACAATATCAAATATAAATACTGTAGTATTTATATTACTTTATATATTCAGTGGTACTGTAGTGGAAAAAGTTACTAAGGCACATAATGAGCTAAGGGATGGAAAACCAAAATTTATTTAGCTAGGGTACCTAGTCTTGATAGTTACACAGTTTAATGTATATTACAGTAGAGTATTATATTTACAATGGGTTTGAGAACGACCACGAGTACAGCCTCTAAACTAAACAGCTTACATAAGTGGTGAGCTAGTTTCATAATTTGGTTTGCTTGTCATGCACCCCCATATCCAATGGGTAGTGGTGGAAGGATTACCTTGAGGTTACCTTGAGGTGCTTCCGGGGCTTAGCGTCCCCGCGGCCCGGTCGTCGACCAGGCCTCCTGGTTGCCGGACTGATCAACCAGGTTGTTGGACGCGGCTGCTCGCACCCTGACGTTGCAAGGTTATTGTTGGCCGAGTTACCAACTCTTATACTCCTTTCAATTTTACAGTACTACTGTATTTCTGTCAGGCAGATGAAAATTACTACTTCCTGCCATCCCTATACAGTACATTAATTGAATTAAGAGAGATGTCAGTGTAAATGGTCTGTGATAATGCTTTCAGTTTGTAAATTGTATGTGTGTTCAAGGGGGGTATTTAATTTAGTAGCAAGCTGAGCATGGCGGATGTGTGTGTTAAGGTTTTTGATGGGATACTGTATAATAATTTTGTTGGGAATAGGAAACCTGTGTATATATACTCTAGGCTTGCACTGAAGTCTTCCTAAAGTCGTAATACTGACCCTCTTTACGATGCAATCCCACAACAATTGCCTAACTCCCAGGCACGTATTTACATTAGGTGAAAGGAAATGTTCCCAATCATTTCTGTCCCTCCCGAAAATCGAACATGGGATTGTCGATTGTGAGTGAAGAGTAAAGTCAACTGTGTTATGAGACCCTTGTAGGCATCATGATATGAAAAGATGTAATCTGCTGGGGTGGCAGTAAGTGCTTTACTTTTTCATCTTTACATACCTTCTGCAACCCAAGCTGTAACTGTGCATGTGACCTGGCTGTGCAGGATTTAATTAAATGGGACCAGAAATTTCCTTGCCTTGAGAACATCAGAGTCCTACTTAGAAAGGTGCTCTTCATATAGTTAACTCAAAACCTTATTTGTTTTGTACTTTTCATATTTCAAAATTATTAAATGTATTTCTGTGTTTTGTATATTACTGTATACAGTATGATAGTACATATTCCAATTTTCCGGGTATCTGATGATGTTTCGGTGGTGGCGAGTAGCAGATAGGGTGAGGAATGTGCATCAGTACCGCAGGTTGGCTACGAGGGAGGTGTTTGATGTGGTGGTGGTGGTGGGTGGCGGTCATGCTGGTACTGAGGCCTGTGCCGCAGCGGCCAGGATGGGGGCCTCAACACTGCTTGTTACACACAAGAAGTCCACTATAGGTTATTATATTTGTGATTTGGAAGTACTTATGTGTACACATTTATGAATACATATACAGTATACTGTATTTACTTATCAAATACTTGCCCATACTGAGTAGCATCCACAATGGTTTTCATGTCTTTTACCTCCACATTATTGATTATTGTTCTTTTATAAATATGTAGTGTTTTCCAAAAAAATTTCCTTTGTCTTTTTCTGTTTTTTCTACTATTTCTTTTCCCCTGATAAAAATTAATTACAGTACTTAAAGTTTGAAATTTTAGCATGCTGCATAATGTTGAATAACTTTTCTTAACATTTGAACAGGAGAAATGTCATGCAATCCTTCTTTTGGAGGCATTGGTAAAGGACACCTAATGAGAGAGGTAGATGCGTTGGATGGCCTTTGTGGTCGGATCTGTGATATATCGGGCATAAACTACAAGGTAAGGAGTAACTATAGTTTCTTGCTAACTTATTTGTCTTTTAAGTCATAAGTTTCATTAGTATTCATCAAGGTGGTTTTAACTTTGTACAGCATTACAAATTTATAAAACCAGTGTACATGTTTGCCTGTTCGCAAGCACATGCCCTTCCAGTTGGTTAACCCATTCTAATCTGTTAATTAAAATAAGTTTGCTCTGCCGTGTGACTACCACATGGCAGTAACACCTCCAACTCAGGCTCAACAGTTCATTTCCTCCTCACATTTCTCCTGACTATACTGTACAGTACTTTGTAATGGTTAGTGGAGATTAATTATTCAGTTAAGTGACTTTTACCCAGTTTAGTGTTTGTGTGGTTCACCTGACAACTAGTAGCTTAGTAACTTTGTAATTCACAAACTAGTGCCTTAAGAATCTGTTGAGTGTCATGGATTTCCTGACCAGTATCTGTGTAGTGGTTTGGAATGTGGCCAACTGTGGACAGTTTTCTGGCTAGAGACTTGATCACTTGGTTTCACTGCCCATCAATTTCCAGTAGTTGCCCTTCACAACCACTCTTCACCAAGACCACATCTTGGTGAAGCTAACCTTAATATGTTGATCCATGAAATAAATTATGGCGTTAAGAATGCCTTTCTATAATGACTGTGATTTAATGACCCCATATTATGCTGATACGGGTATGCTTAATGCATCCTTAACATTAAACAAGGTATATATGAGAGTAAAGAGTTACCTTTGTTTAGAAAGGTAAAGAAATTAGTGAGAAAGTGTATATATATGTATTAAAAAAGAACAATTTAATTCATCAATTCATTATATAGTATCACTTAAGTAAAATTTTGTACTGTATGGTAGTTTATTCAACTGACTAGATTTTTTTTTTTGTACAGTGCTGTATTTTGATTTTGAAAAAGATTGCTAACAATTTCTTGCACTATCACTATACAATTGGTTTTCAGATGAACCGTAGCAAGGGTCCTGCTGTTTGGGGTCCACAAGCACAAATAGACCGAGTGCTTTACAAGACAAATCTTCAGAGTGAACTATTTCAAGCAACTAACCTCACTATAATAGAATCATTAGTGGAAGATCTGATGTTAAAAGAACCTCATACTGATGGTACGCTAAAGGATCAGTTAAGATTTGATTGATATATTTTTTGATATAGACAGACCAACTCAAATGTGGATTTGAGTAAAATCTGTATCATCTTTTCAAGTGTAGCCATAGAATGAACTTTATTTCACTTATTTCTTTCATTTTATGATATCATGGAAGAAATAATCCTACTGTTGGGGACAGGAAGCCAGTACCTAAACTTATAAAGGTTACCCCTAGTTGGGTGCTGACATTTCCCAGGATGCAACCCACCGCAGTTACCTAACTCCCAAGTACCTATTTACTGCTAGGTGAACAGAAGCATCAGGTGAAAGGAAAAGGCATATCTCCTGTGCTAGAGGACGATAGTTTGGCAACATACTGGGCTTGTAGTGGATTGTTTCCATTTATTTATGCTTGGTATAAAGTGTTTAAGGATGTGACAGCTCCATTGATAACCATTTTTTAATGCAAATAAACCTGTATTCCCTAATATAAATAGGGTGGGAAGGTAGGTCAGTGACCCATCTTCAATGATTCCCATCCACAAAAGGCAAAAGCAGCTTCAGATCTTGGAATTGATAGGTATGGGTGAAAAGGCATCTCTCGTTTTCTGCTCTACATTGTAGCTTGTAACTTCAAGCTATGTGTTATATGTGTTACATTGCATTTTTAGCAAAATGAACTGGATTAATATCTTTCAAATTTGTTCAATATTTTAAAGGTCTCAATATCACCTCTATTGTGTATGGTTTCTAATGATGTTAGTTCTGTGGCCCTCAATCTCTGCTGTTATTAAAGTTGACTTAGTTCTGGAATGTAGATGAAGAGTCACAATAACGTGGTTGAAAAATGTTGACTAAACCAAACACTAGAAATTGAAGAGACGACTTGGTTCTGGAATGATTAGTGTTGCTCTTCATTAAAATTTTCCTGAAATAGTTGTGTGTTTTTGGAGATAAGGTCTCCATGCTTGATACAGTAGTTCAGAGGAGGGGTGCACCAGAAATTTGTACAGCTGAATAACAACTTTCTTTTTCTTATAGTCAAAGGTTCATTTGTTTGTGCCTAAGGCTTGGTTGTCATTTTTAGTGCATCTCCGACTTGTTGAACAATGTCCAGTGACCAGTGGATTATAATTCCTAGGTGAATGAGGCGCTTGGAATACAAATTGACCAAAATCTTTAACCAGCAGCCTTTGATTTATAGAGGGGCTTCGCTCCTCTTAAAATTGTGCAAATAATACTCCTATGTATATGGTATAAATATAACATCGAGTTTAACGAAATCCGTTTTTCTGGAGGCTCCCTAGAATTTAGGCACTGGTACTCCAGGGCTAAACCCCTGCCAGGCATTTATGACCAACTCTTCATACAATGAGCATGTACCAGAATCTTGCCTGCTCGCAGAGGCAGGGGAACATATGGGGAATCGGGGATCAACTAACACAGGGAAATCACACAATACACATTAACTCCTGTACAGTACTCTTTGTCACCCCTGAAACAGGTCTTGGCCTCAACAGCCAAGTCTAGAAGTACTACCAAGAACAGGATAAAACTTGAAAACGAGTCCACCAAGCAAGAGGAATACAGAATACCAAAATTCTGAGAAGGTATCTTTGGTAATGGATGTGAAAGTAGGGTTAGGGTCATTTCTTTCTGTGAAGTAGTAGCTTGTTTTTTATATCAAACAGTTCTGGTTAGGTTTCTTAGTTTTGAGCAGATCTCTGATCCTCATGCTCCCCCTTCACCTCATAGAGAGATCCAATTCCTGGTTCTGGCTCTCAGTGGTCAGAGTGGGAGCTATTGATGGCCTACCAGGAAAGACCATTTCATTATGTTAAACACAACATTTTTAATGCACATGTTTTAGCATAGCACTGTTTAATGTTCAACATATCGCCCAGTGTTTCTTTTTATACATTAAGATAATGTTTAGAGCTGATATTTCGAATTGCATGTTTTGACAAAAATAAAATTTATGTACTATCATAAAAAATGCATATTTGTCTTGTATATAGGTCAACTAGTCGAGTGCTGTGGAGTGTTACTAGCTAATGGCAAAGAGGTCGTGTGTCGCAGTGTTGTCATCACCACGGGGACCTTCTTGAGAGGAGTTGTCAATATTGGGTTAGATGTGAAACCTGCTGGCAGACTTGGAGATGCACCAGCCATTGGGCTTGCCAACACCTTAGAAAGGCTTAAGTTTAGGCTTGGAAGACTTAAAACAGGTATTGTGGAAAGTGCTTAGTAACCCACAGTACGTACTAGCAACTATCTTTTTATTCATCTGGTATGGGCTCTGTATTTAATTACACAATATATTTGTTAGATTTTCTTTCATTGCTAATTTGTATGGTAGAATCAATGACTATCAAGTAGTCAAATTTGGTCATTGTGGCACAATAGGGGTCTTCATATTTGCTAACCTGCTTTTTAGATACCATTGATTGTAGTAGTTTTATTACTGATCTAGATTTTGTTGGAAAAGTGTATTAGGCATGGAGTCACCCAGTTATGTATTGTACATAATAGTCAACTCTTGTATATACAGATATATTGACATTTAATTTTATACATGAATATGAAAGGTCTTGAAATCCTCTTTATATGGGGTTTATTTTTTCCAACTCAAGGAACACCACCAAGAATAGCCAAAAACACTATTGACTACTCACAGTGTGAACCTCAAGCCCCTGACAACCCACCAGTCCCATTTTCCTTCTTGAATCAACAGGTCTGGATTAAGGTTAGTACTTGAACAGTTTCCTGCTTTTCAGGAGATTCATTTTCTACCTCCTGAAGTGTACCCTGAATAGATAGGAGGACTGTAGAATTCTAGTGAAATTTTTCTATAACAGACCGTTTTCACACCTTTATGTGATAAAAGATTCCTTAGCAAGACGAAAGGTAATGATTTATTACTGAAAGACGAGTGTTTAATATAGGAGCTTTGAAGTTAAGTACAGTACAGTACTGTACAGTACAGTGAAAATCTGTGTCACATGCCTCATCCAATCACCCCCCCCTCTCCTTTCCTCTACATGCTGATCTTGTAAGAAATACTGTATTTTCCATCATTTAAGAAGTTCCTCTGCTTAGGATACACTTCTATTTTACAAGGATGTTATGAGGTGAAATACTTTTAAAATGTACAATGAAACATACAAAAGTGTTTAATAGTGCCGTTTCCCAGGTATTTTCACATAAACTAAGACATTGAGCTTAAACTTAATGATGTGACAGTGCACCCTGCCCATCAGAAAATATGGTACATATTTATACTTACTTACCTTTGAAGAGAGATGTTTGACTTGTCACCCATGAATGGGCAAAAACAGGTCTAGGTGCAGTACTCTACTTATTTTTATGAAAATAGATAAGACAAAGACAAACTGAACATGTTGTATCAACTAGCAGCATGTTACACAAGCAGCATATTTCCCAAGCTGTTTAACCATAGTTATACTGCCTGGGAAACATGATTGGGTAACATGGCACTACAGTATGTATAGCACACACAGCACACTTTGTGACATTTACACATGATCTAAATAGAAATAATATACAAAACAAAATGCTAATCACCCATTCCTACATGTGAGTTGTTTGATACAATAGCTGAATTACCCTTCTTAGCTAGTTTCTTACTCCAACCCTTCCTACCAGGAATATTTTGGGTTGTTGTGAGATGAACCATTCAGACTTGTCTGATATTGCCTTCAACACACCAATCCTGCTGGGACCACTTTTTTATAATTTGGATAAGTGTGCGCTGGTTTTCATTTCCTGGGAGGGTTCCCCCATGTTAAAACAATGAATTTACCAAGCCTTAGGAAATCACACTTGGCTTCTGAAACCCACTCTAGCATCCTGGGAGCCAAGAGCAGAGTCTGGCTCTTGCTATGAGGCAAGAAAAGTCTGGGAATCAGATATGAACCCAAAACTGTGTACAAAAACACCAAAAAGCAAAAATTCCATAAAAGACAAAGACTCATTGCTGCAGAAAGACCATCCCTCCTGTGATGCACCTAACTTTCCCTATATGGAAGCCCAGGCCACCAGTGTCCCAGCCAGCCATTCACCACATTCACTTGCCCAGTGTTACCACAGACACAGTTCTCCTCTGGGCCAGCTTGTAGCTTTATGCCACCAAGTAACCGGTGAAAGTGGGTATCCTTTGAATATTTAGTTCCGCATGGGACCATTCCTTTATCATTTTGTTATGTTTCTTGGTTCGTGACACCCACCCTGCATTTGTCCCGTGTTTACATTTCGCTTCAACTGTAAGTCAGGATTGGCTTTCCTGACGGCCTACATGCATTTCCCTTGTCTCACCAGAGTTAGCTTCTTTAAAGGTTTCCTCCTCATAAGTCATTTATCTTCTGGGTTTTGGTTTGCTTCACTTGGAGGACTATTGATGGGAAGTGATAGTAGTTAGGTACGTGCTTGTGTGCTATAGTGTCCGACTCTACTGATGTTCATTTAGGACCAATGCTTTAGCCAAGTGTTCACTTGGGTCAATATTTGTTCAGCCGAGATACACTTTCTGTAGCCCCCTGGCTAAATCAGGTGGCATGGCTATTGTTCTGCTGTTTTCTGACTGGGGATGTGGCATATCTTGTTTTGGGAATCTATGCCTCATTTTCACTTTATAGTTGGATTTTCTTGGTTTTGGGTTGATATGATTCTCAAGCTCCTCTTGCTTCATAGAGAAAGCCAGATCTTGGCTTCTCAGTAGGCTGTAGTTAAGCCATGTATGAAATACATTTTCTTTCAGTCAGAGGAGCAGTTAATGTGTTACCGCACATTCACTACCCCAGAGGTGGAGAAGATTGTTAGGGATACGTTACATCTAAATCGCCATGTTCAGGAAGAGATTAATGGGCCACGTTATTGTCCATCCATCGAATCAAAAGTTTTAAGGTGAGAATAATTCTGTGTATCTTTAGTAGCCACTAGGAGTGATATTAAACTGTAAATTAGTGAAATTTGGCTGAATGTTGAGGAAATGGGGAAGTACAGGATTTTGCATATTTAAGGTGGACTTGTTGAGGGTTGATAAACGCATCTGATCTTATAATCAAAACACTATCCATCTTAATGGCTTTGCAAGAGGGTACCATTTAATCATCAATATCTGTACTGACTACCCACTCTACCTTCTTGTATAACTATACAGTACAGGTAAATAAATAGTAGAATAAATCAAAAGCAGAATGATTGGAATGGCACAGGATGCATACTGATGAAATGAGTTTCTTCACATTGTTTTGGAAAGGGAGTGAAGAAGGAATATTGTGCAGTGAACAATGTGAATATTAAAATATTAAGATGTATTTACAGCACAAAGAAGAGTAGGTAACAAATGGTAATACAGTATAGAGGTATTTAAGTTGTTCATAAAAATTCTAAAGAATATAAATGTTTATAATGGATGTGAAAGTTGTATGCTTTATGCAAATGAAAGAAGTAGAAGGGAGATGATATTGAGTATACAGTTAATTCTCAATTATAAATGATCATAATCTATACAGATTGAATCTATGTGGTCTATAAGTTGAGACTACATATAAAATGTATAGTCTTTGAATCTATACAGTTTTACATGATAATGCAATTTGTTTTTGACAAGTTATGTAAGTCATCAGAAGCAATTCCTCCAGCCCGTCCTCCTATGGTTTCCCAACGTCAAGAAAACGGTCACTTTAAAGTTTCTCCTCCTAACATACCAGAAGACCCAAAGAATGGGACAGTACATCACTTTCGCGAGCTACTTCCATTTTCAAGTACAGTACAACAATTTTAGGCCTTGTGTAACGCATACGAGCGAAATGTGACATACTTTGTAAGACGACAGTTGATTCCTCAGCAGTTTAAAAACCATCTAATAAAATTGAAAAATGCAATGAACTGAACTACAGTGGATGAACTATGTTGCCTACACCTGAATGCTGGGGGTTTATACATAAAACTTGGATTGGCTTCAGTAGAGGCTTCCTGACTTCCTGTGATTTCGGTAGAAATCCGTTTGTATAACTTTTACCAAGTCTGGGTGGTCCAGTGGTGAGCGTTAGCAGCTGGGAGTCTCTTGGTCATGGGTTCAAGTCACCTCAGAGCAGCTCCAGTTGATTTTCTCATTGATATACTGTATATCACGTAAGTTTTCTCTGTGATTATTATTATTATTATTATTATTATTATTATTATTACTATTATTATTATTATTATAATTATTATTATTATTATAATTATTATTATTATTACTTTTTTTTTTTTTTGAGATATATACAAGAGTTGTTACATTCTTGTACAGCCACTAGTACGCGTAGCGTTTCGGGCAAGTCCTTAATCCTACGGTCCCTGGAATACGATCCCCTGCCGCGAAGAATCGTTTTTTCATCTAAGTACACATTTTACTGTTGCGTTAAACAGAGGCTACAGTTAAGGAATTGCGCCCAGTAAATCCTCCCCGGCCAGGATACGAACCCATACAGTACTTCAACGAACAACCCAACCCATACGATACTGGTATTATAACTGAACTTTGAGGTTGTCATGGCAATTATGCCTGTACACTCTGTCCCAGGCTCAGACTCCTGAAATTCCATATTCACCATAAATTCCATGGACTGTTTGAGGTTCAGTTATGTTTTTAATTAAGGGCTGTGGAGTCGGTACATAAAACTTTTGACTTGAACTCCTCAATTTATGATACCTCCAACTCCTCACTGTATGTATCAATACAGCATGTGAAATAAATAATAACTACTAATTATTTATTTCCTATATTGCTTGATAGAATGCAGCATACAAGTTATTTCATCACTGGCAGCATGAATCATCAAGCTACTCTTTAAAACCCTAACTTATTCAAGTTTGAGTCTAAAGGTTACAGCAAGACCATAGTGGCTCTTATTATTATTATTTATCGATGAAATTACGAACATTCAGTAACCTTAAATTTTAAACAAAAGACAAAACTTAAAAAAAATAAAACATTGAGGTTATTAAGTAAGATACGATATAAAAGAATGAAACTATAAAAGAAAAGGAACATCTTTCTACCAGTTCCCTTCATTTTTCAAGATGAAAATAAAAAAAAGTTGTTATAAAAGTTATAAAATAATAAATTATTGAAAAACTTGTAACTACAAAATATTTAAATGAATTTTGCGTCTAGCTGTATAATAGGGGTTAAAATAAAAATAAAATCCCAAATTTACTAACAAGTTGTTTTTAAAAACAGAATTTCTTCTGCCAGGTTGTCTCTGATTTAAATTTATTTGAAATTTGAGTCGGAGCCTGTACATTTTCACTGACTAACTCCAGAAACCCAAGAAATTCTTCCGACTCCAAATCCATAACCCTGGTTTTTATGTCTAATGTATAAGGTTTAGCTTGTCTGTAGTTGGTTCTGGGAGTTTTCTATTCCCAAATCCCAGCTTGGGGACAGGCCTAGTATTAATTCCTTTTTGCTAATATTTTGAAAGCCAATGACTATTTTATCTTGTATATTTTTGTCATTGTCAGATTTTCAGGTCGTAACCATCAGGTGTGGCTTGAGCCGGAAGGTCTAGATAGTTAACCCAGAAAGGTAGGTGCCTCAAAACAGACCATAACTGGTAGAAAAGTGCAACCCAAGACCAAACAGAGCCCAAGAATTTCCCCCCTGAAAAACAAGGTAACAAGCAAATCATCATCAACCCAACGAGCCGCTTGTTCACGCTGCTCGCTGGTTCTTTTAGGACTGTTCCTTCTGCCTTCTCGCAATCGCTGGGTTCGTCCACCAGGGTCCTTGTGTCAGTCTGGTGTATCCGCAAGGCTTGTCGTGTACAATGCCCCGGAGCACCAGCACACTTTGCTTCATTTGATACCAGGACTCCAACACTGTGAAATGGTCACGTCTGGTGTATCCGCAAGGCTTGTCGTGTACAATGCCCCCGGAGCACCAGCACACTTTGCTTCATTTGATACCAGGACTCCAACACTGTGAAATGGTCACTCCAGGTATGAGAGTAAAATGATTTTTCTGAAGGGATCCCCGTTGGCTCCCTGGAGCTGTCGAACTGATATTAGCTATATTAGTCTGGGGCTCTGGGGCTTCAGTCATATGGAGTTCTGTGCCTACTGGGAACCACGAGCCAGAACTTAGTTCCCAGAAAATCAGTATACAATCCCTGATTGTACATAAATCATTTTTAAAAGAATTGGAAACATCCAAGTATTTCCCTATAAATACTCTGTGATTTGTATACAATCCCTGATTGTACATAAATCATTTTTAAAAGAATTGGAAACATCCAAGTATTTCCCTATAAATACTCTGTGATTTGACATTGGAATATTGTATTTTAACCCAGTATGTCAATTTTTTTTATTGCTAATTTACCTTTTCCTTATACAGGCTATGGTGTAGAATATGATTACGTTGACCCACGGGAGCTGACTCCCCAACTTGAGACCAAACGTGTTTCTGGACTCTTCTTGGCTGGACAAATCAATGGAACAACTGGTTATGAGGAAGCTGCTGCTCAAGGAATTGTGGCCGGAATAAATGCTGCGGCGAAGGTATTATGTATAGTCAGCACGTAGTTTGTGTCCATATTTTGTGTGCATCTTCGATAATGGTTTCAGCTGTAGGGTAGGATATTGTGTATAATACTGGCAACAGTTGGGCAGGATATTGTGTATAATGCTGCCAACAGTTGGGCAGGATATTGTGTATAATGCTGCCAACAGTTGGGCAGGATATTGTGTATAATGCTGCCAACAGTTGGGCAGGATATTGTGTATAATGCTGCCAACAGCTGGGCAGGATATTGCCTATAATGCTCCCAACAGCAGGGCAGGATATTGTTTATTATGCCCTCAATGCTTGTGTGGGGATATTGTTCATAATGCTCACAATAATTAGGCTGAATATTACATATAGTATTCACAACAATTGGGCAGAATACTACATATAAAGTGCTTAGAAATAGGGCATAATATTGTATATAATGCTCATAACAGTTTGCATAACATTGCTTAGGATGCTCCCAATTGTTGGCTAGGATGTATAGTAAGGGGGGGGGGAGGGGTATGATCAAATCATACATAAGACAGTTCCACAAAGCTTATTTTCTGATTATCAATACTATATATATCATTAGGATGTACTGTATTAGATTAGTTTAGGCTGTGTTAGGCTCAGTTGGATGAGGTTAGATTAAGTTAGGTTGGGTAGGTTATAAAATATGTTTGTCTTGTGTACAATGTGATTTGTATCCTAAAGCAGAGTATAATGCTCCATTGCTAATGCAAAATGTTAATTAAGGAATTGCCTGTCACATTCTATGGCAATGCAATATTGATCTATTTATATCTAATATACCAGTATCTTATTGTGTGCACACAATGCAAAAGCATAAACTTGACTTCAATAAGCTATAGAATGCAGTTTATGTCATGAAATTGAACCACTATTCCCATTGACCAGGCTTTAAATAAGGAGTGTCTTACCGTGGACCGAACTGAGGCTTACATTGGTGTCTTGATTGACGATCTCACCACCCAGGGAACATCGGAGCCGTACCGCATGTTTACCTCTCGTGCAGAGTTTAGATTTTATCTTAGGCCAGACAATGCTGATCTTCGACTTACAGAAAAAGGTTTGTGATACTCTACAGTGCATGTAGTACACTAATCATTGTAAATCTGATTCTTATACGTTTATAACATTTGATTTGCTTTCTAGGTGTGCAATCATAACTGTTTATTATAAACATTAATTACATTTACAAGTACTTTGTTTAGCAAAAATAATACAGTGAAAGAAACTAAAGATAATGAAGGTTAGGCACATTTCTGAGGACAAATTGTAGCATGCTGGTATGCCAGCATGGAGTACCAGCATGGTACATTAGTATGCTATGCTATGTTACATTACTATGTAACAGTTTATGTATTTATTTGTTTATATACAAGAAGGTACATTAGGTTTATGAAAGTACATAGCATTGATGTTTTTACATTCTTGTAAAGCCACTAGCACGCATAGTGTTACATTCTCGATTTGCCTTTTAAGCCAAGTTTTCCTGAATCTATATATTTTTCAAATTTTTTCTTATGAAATGATAAAGCTATCCATTTTATTATGTATGAGTTAATATTTTTTGAGTTAAAACTAACATAGATATATGACCTAACCTAACCAACTCTACCTAATCTATCTTAACCTAACCTAAACTAACATAGCTAAGGTAATAGTTTATGTTCTTAATATAATATAATAATAATAATTCAAATAAGCCAATTGGAAATGTTTGTGGAAAATAAAGAAAATTACTCAACCTATTAGGCAAATCGGGCCTTGCTTAGTAGGCCAAGAAGTGCGTTCTGGCTACTAGGTACAGGCATACCTCAGTTTAAGAGTTTAATTGGTTCCTGGAGACGCCTCGTATTCCGAAAACTCGCATTCCGAAGCTAATTTCCCCATAAGAAATAAAGGGAAATGAATTAATCCGTTCCTGACTACCCCAAAAACCCCACATCAAACTAAATTTTTATACCTAATTCATCTAAATAAACCTACAAAACTATGTTCAAGTTATTACTTACCTTGCTGTTGAATGCTGTAGGCGTATGGAAGATGGTGAGGAGGGGGGAGGAAGAGAGGAGTTACTGTCTGGAAGGGGAGTCCCCTTCCATTATCACATCAGGCAGTGAGGACTTCACTGGTATGCACACTCTGGCACATTTTGCCTGCATACCACTAGGACTTGCTTGTTTTACTAAGAATTTGTCTAATGACACTTGTTTTTCCCTACATTTTAACACTTGTCTGTAGTAAGACATCACATTATCATTTAAAAGGTCAATGCAACGGCCTGCTACAGCTTTATCTGGGTGAGTTTTTTCAACAAAACTTTGCAGTTCTTCCCATACTTCACACATTTTCTTAATCAAGAAGGGACTTCCTCTACTGCCTCTACTCACAGCTATTTTCTTAGGTTGAACCTTACCAATGGCTTTCTTGAGACCCATGGCAAGATATATAATGACAACTTTTATGCTCAAATGGCCAAAAAAACGATAAAAAACTGTAAATCCTTGTGAGGAATTCAGGTGGGATAGTCACTGGACACGAGACACTGGTAAACTGAGGTGCGATCGCCATGCCACCACGCGCCAGTCGGCCTGTACACGTATCAACAAACTCGCGTTCCGAGGTAACCCTCGCCTTCCGAGACATATTTTCCGAGGAAATCCTGCTCGTCTTCCGAAAAACTCGCATACAGGGACACTCGTATTCCGAGGTACCACTGTATATATAATGTTGTACCTAATAAGCAGAATGGACTTCTTGGCCTACTATACAAGGCCCAATTTGCTTAATTAATAAGCTACATTTTCCTGAAGTTATATATTTTTCTAATTTTTTTCTACTGAAATGATAAAACTTTCCATTATTATGTAATATTATGTAATTGAAAGCTTGGGGCTTCCCCTTTTCCCTCCTCCTTGTGACGTCATGCTCATTTGCTCGTTTTTTGTTAGGGGCGTTCTATCCAACAGTTCGGCTTTCGGTAGTAAATTTTTAACCAGATAGGGTTTGTTTTGGGGTGCCTACCTTTCTGGGTGCCTGACCCGGTCGATGGCAGATAGAATGCTTCCAACCACACGAGGGGTTTCTATAGGCCATTGCTCCTCATGCCTCTCTGAGGGGCCCAAGTTCTGGCTCGTGGTCCCTGGTAGGCCTAGTACTGTACTTTATTCACTTGACCGATGCCAGGGTCTAATACATTCATATCAGCCCAGAAAGCTCCGGGAAGCCTCTGGGTCTCACCCAGAAAATGGTGTTTCATTACATTCAATGCTGTTATTTTGTTATAATAATTGTTAGGACCATATCAATATTTTACAGTACTGTTCTTAAAAATGTCTACAGTACTGTATATTCAGTATTTCCTTGGTGAAGAAAATTACTGTAAAATTTAACTTTTGAAGCAATAAAGAGGGTCATTAGCAGAAGTTATAGTGTATTGAATGTGCAGAATCATATCAGC